ATATATACATATAATTTATAAAATATTATCCATGTGACATATTGTCTAAATCAATTGTGTTACTATGTCATAAAAATAATATTTATTATTATTTATATCATGACTTTTATATATTATAATTTTTATGGATAATTTTAACTTCTAACAAAATTGGGATGATCAGACTATTTTCGTAAGACCTTTAAGACCATCTTTTTACATTTGAAACTTCACAGTAGAAGACTGTGAATGTGATCTTCACAATGTTTTTTGCTGTGAGTGTTCAAACCTTTTTTTACCTTCACATTGTTTTGTTGTGAAGTTTCAGGTATAAAAATATGGTTTCACGAGTCTCATGAAAACAAATTGGTCTCACGTAAACTCAACCTTATAAATACATATATGTAATATTTGGAAATTGAAATAAAAGATAGATTACTTGTGGGCTTGGATTTGGTACTATTTGGGCCCGATCTAACTAACTTTTTGTCCAATAAGCTTATAGTGATCCAAAATTCATTTTTACTGGTTTGATAAATTGTTGATATTTGTCCATCACACTATCTTTAACAAATTCTTTAAAAGCCTTTTTTTAAATGAAGAATTAAATTTTAAAAAAAATTGCATTTATTTCAACAAATTATCCATTTTGAAGATTATATCATGAAAATATTCCATATATTTAATTAAATATTATTTCTCGCTCATAAATATTTTATTTCAAGGTTATTTATTGGTGAAATACAATAAAAAAACCATTTTACTAATCATTTTTGTAGATATCTCCAAATTTGAAGAAATTTACACTATCTCCAGTAAATTCTCCATTTTAGAGAAAATTATGGAAAATCTGTTGAAGCAAAAAATTGTCCAAAATCCTTAATTTCCATTTTGGATAATCTGTTGGAGATGCTTAGACCTTAAACTTTTATCGAACTTTGAACTTACTAAAACGAATAAATAAATTCTTAAACTTGCTAAAACCAGAAAAACTCAACGAATTTAATTACACCTATACAGCGAAAAAAATGTAATCTCTTTTGATATATCAATAAATTAGTAAAAAATACACGGTAAAAACAAAAGAGTAAATTACATGTTCGTCCATTTGATTAGGTGTTTTTAATGGTCCTTGTGGTTGCAGTTTTTTAACGAGTTACATCCATGTGATTGCGTTTTTTTAGTGAGTTAGGTCCTTATGGTTGTAGTTTTTTAATGAGTTCGGTCCCTATATAAATCAACAACCTCTGTATTCCTATGCTTACATCAGGACTCAGTACGTTGTAAAAATGTAAGGACAAGAACATGACCCATTGAATATCTACCCACGTGGACGTCTATTGTAATTTAATCAAAACAAAATGATTATACAACGTTCCTAAGGATTTAAACGCTCACAACATAAAAATTCATTGACTTTTATTAGGTTCTAATAAGTTAAAATTTATTTGTTCGATTTCAAGAAATTTAATAATTTATTTATTCAAAGAAATTTAATCACTTAAGATATAAAATTCACTGGGTTTTTCACCTTTTCAGAATTTTCGAAACCCTACTAAAATTGATATGTTTCATTCGTCTCAAATTAAGTGTCTTTAATATTTCTTTACTTTCTCTCAAATTAAAAATGTCCTCTGAAATTTAAGTGGTAAACATATTCTTTAATACCTCTTAATTTTGGTTTGTCATCTATCAAATGGTTCATTTGTTGGGATTTGAAGAGATCTGTTAGCTTTTGTAAAAATAAAATAAAAACTATTTATCTTTTATATTTTTACATTAGTTTGATCAATTCAAATTTCAGACTTCAGAGGTAAAAACGAACAATCTTATTGATCTAGATTTCAAACTTATCAAAAATGAAATCAAACAATCTTATTGATCTAGATTTCAAACTTATCAAAAATGAAATCAGAGTTCACCATCTCTTAAACAACTATCCACTTTTAAATGTAAGTTTGTAATTTCCTATTTTACCCTCGATTGTGACATTTGTTCTCTGTTATGAAGGGTAAAGAAACTGTATATATTCTTAAAAGTGAAGGTAGTGGACATAAGAGAATAATGGGTTTTCTTTTAATTAAAATTATAATGAGGAAAGCAATTGACATATCAACCCATGCCCCAAATTTGTGTATTTAGATCTCAGTCTTGTTGTTTTGCCAAAAATCTCTCTCAAAAAATGAGCCTTTCACTCATAATCTTCATCACCATTCTTATTCTTCCATCAATATCTTGTTGCTCAAAAACCATCCATGGAAACAATCAAACCAGCTGCTGTATTGTAAACCCTTTTTTGGAAAATCAAAATTCATCAATCATCAAAGATCATATACTCGAGCTGGCAAATGATGTTGATACAGTGGATTGGATCAAGAAAATAAGAAGGGAGATTCATGAGTACCCAGAACTTGCCTTCGAAGAAATCAAAACCAGCTCCGTAATCCGCCATGAATTGGAGAAGATGAGTATTGGGTATCGGTGGCCGGTGGCCAAGACTGGAGTCGTCGCCGTCGTTGGCTCCGGTTTGCCGCCGTTCGTTGCACTCAGAGCAGACATGGATGCTTTACCCATTCAGGTTCCCTCTTTCTCAAAATAATATTAAAATAAATGATATATATATATATATATATATATATATCTCTGGGTATGTATAAGTTTTCATGCAAGAAGTGCAACAATTTGATCCATAAAAAACTTGCTTTTTATGAGCGAATCTAGTAGCTTAAAAATATTATAGATGGCAGACATGCGGGGGCCAGTCTTGAACGCTTTTCTAATTCTTTAAGCTTCAATTCTGCAGATAATTGGTATATTAATTTAGGGTTTTCTCTCCATTTTTCTAATATGCATATATCTATATAGATATAGATACAGATACAGATGTATGTATCTATATATATGCACTCCTGTTACATATACAATAAAAAATCCATATATATATATACATATACATACATATGACTTTTCATTTACAAACCATTGAGTTCTAACAAATCAATCTTAATTACCGGTCTATTATTATATATAAATATGTATATATAATTTCATGCAAGACATGCAACAATTTGATCCATCAACACCTTTTTAATGAATCTCGAAGGTCAAGAAATACAGTATAATTATATATAATGATTGTTGCTGCTGCTGCTCTGTGTGTGTGTGTCTCTCTCTCTCTCTCTATATATATAATGTGTATATATATATAGGAACTGGTTGAATGGGAGCATAAGAGCAAGATTGATGGCAAGATGCATGCTTGTGGACATGATGCACATGTTGCAATGCTTCTTGGTGCTGCTAAAATCTTGAAACAGCTCGAAAATGAATTGCAGGTAATTAATTAAGATTAATTATGGGTTTAATTTATAATGCCTCAAAAATTAATAAATTATAAAGTAGCTCTTTGGTTGATTATAAGTTTAGGGGACGGTGATTTTGATATTTCAACCAGCGGAAGAACGCGGTGAAGGAGCGAAACAGATGATCAAAGAAGGTGTTCTCGAGAACGTGGAGGCTATTTTCGGTCTACATTTAGTCCTCTCCTCCGATTCTGGTGTCGTTGCATCGAGGCCGGGGGAATTTCTGGCGGGATGTGGTTGTTTCAAGGCGGTGATCCAGGGCAAAGGAGGTCATGCCGCCATCCCTCAAGAATCGATCGATCCAATTTTGGCTGTTTCGGCTTCTATAATTAGCTTACAACATCTTGTTTCTCGAGAGGCTGATCCCTTGGATACTCCTGTATGGAATTGAAATTGATTAATAAAAGATCATACAATAATTAATTAATTAATTAACCCTTTGATTTTGCAGGTGGTTTCAGTAGCAATGGTAGATGGTGGAACTCAGTTTAATGTCATTCCAGATTCAGTTTCCATTGCTGGTACTTATAGAGCTTTTAGCAAAAAGAGCTTCTATGCACTTGGAGAAAGAATACAAGAGGTACTACCTACTTTATATCCTGTCTGTTATATTTTATATATATATATATATATATATATATATATATATAGGGTTAAATTCACGTGAGACCAAGGGTTTTTCGTGAGACCTGTGAGACTAATTTATGTTCATTGATCAACTTTATAAGCCAATGATCTAATGGTCTAAAGTTGCACGGTGGCAATTTTGTAATTATTGAGAAATCTCGTGACATTTATGAATGTTCAAATCTGACGATTGTAAATCTAATCCAAGGGTTGAGAATTGGTCTTACGGGTCTCATGAAAAATCATTGGTCTCACATGATCCCAAGTCTATATATATAGGGTTGGGTTCACATGAAACCAACTTGTTTTCTTGAGACCCGTGAGATCACATATTTACACGTAAACTTCACAGCAAAAACACTGTGAAGATTTAAAAAAAGTCGAACCTTCACAGCAAAAACACTGTGAAGGTTAAAAAAATCACCTTCACAACATTTTGCTGTGAAGTTTCAAGTGTAAAAAGTTGGTCTCACGGGTCTCACGAAAACAGGCAGGTCTCACATGATCCCAAGTCTCTCTCTCTCTCTCTCTCTCTCTCTCTATATATATATATATATATATATATATATGAGGGAAATAGTTTGGGTTACAGTGAGAAAGAGAATTAAGGTGAGAAACGTAAGATGAGACCTCCGGGATGGGATGCATATTAGGATGAGATCCACCAGATAAGTTCATATAATAAGTGTGATTCATAGGTGAGTTTGATATTAAAGATGATCAAGAATTCAAATCTCTTGTTACGCTTTTCATCTTAACTCTCATTTTTAAACGTACGGGAAAATCCAAAAAGAAAATGAAAAACTGATGAACCCTGGTTACTATTCATATGCATGGTACACACATGTCTATACAAGTAAGTGAAGTCGTTTCTTGGTTCTTATGCACATTTGCATACCAAATAAATTGCTTACAAATTATTTGTATGCACATGTACATACCGTTCCGATAAACGGTTACCAAAATATTCGTTTTATTACGGTTTTTCCCTACACTTAACCCTACGTATACAATATACATATGCATATATATATATATATATATATATATATATAAGGGATGTTTACTTTGCAAACCATGTTATTTGTATAAACCGTGCAAACCTCATTCAATCAATCCTAATTTTTATTTGATTTTTGTAATTATAAGAGGTTAACTAATCATTTTTATTGTGAAGGGTGTTAATTATGGATCTTATTAGAGAAATACACGAAACAATTTCATTAAAACATATAAACAATCATATATGAAACAATTTAATTAGATTAAACAATTTCATTAAATTAAACAATAAAATCGACGGATGATGGTGGTTTTCACGGTTTGTACAAATATGAGTGAGTTGCATTTGATCGCTCATATCTCTCTCTCTCTCTCTCTCTCTCTCTCTCTATATATATATATATATATAGTCTAATTAAATTAGAACTAATTAGCTTGTGGTCACTGTGATGTCTAACATGAACCAATCATTTAAGATAATTGATATGTTTCTTAAAATAAAATAGAATAGTAAATTAGTAATTTGTGTTGATTATTCAATTTACTTTAATTGGTTTAATATTCTAATTTACTTTAATTAGTTTAATTATTTTAATATATATATACACACACACAAACACACAGGACCAAAATCCGATGGCCTTCTCTCGCACCCACCACTCCGACGACCTTCTCCGGTCATCTTGTCCGACAAGACGCTGTCTCCTGCAATCGACCATTAACACCCACCTGTGAGCATCTCCAACAGCTATCCCATCTTCTTCCCTCTGACAACCTCCAGATACGACAACCTTCTTCGTTTCTCTCTGGTAGGGATCCCATTCAAAATATTGAGGCTGGTTGTCACACATCGATCCACCATCATCTTGTTTCTTTCTGGTTAGACTGCATCGTTGGTGCATTGTCATTATAGTTCGTCGAATGGGGAGAGGATGGGCGAAAAGCAACTTCGGTAAGGAGAGGGATGAGAGGCGTAGGCTTCAAAATAGGATATTTAGGGCAAATTCAAATAAACTAGGCAACTGTAGATTGAATAATTAATGATTTGATTTGTTATAAACTTTTTTTTGTCAAAATACCCATTTACCCTTTATTTTATTTTAGTAAATAATATTAATTATCTTAAATGATTGGCTCATATTAAATCTCATGATACCACAAATTATCTAGTTCTCATTTGTTTAGGCCTCTTTCTCTCTCTCTCTCTCTCTCTCTCTCTCTCTCTCTCTCTATATATATATATATATAGAGGGATGTTATTCTACACCCTTTGCCATTCCTACACCCTATACAACCCTCATCTCAACCATTCAATTTTTAATCAATTAATTGTTTCCTAATATAAAGTATTAATCATAATTAATAAACTCTATTCATATTCCATAAATATTCAAATCATAATAAATGAACTCCAATCATTTCTATAAATATCTTAATTAATTGGGTTGCAAAGGTTGTACAAATGCACAAGGTTGTAAAAGAAATATACCATATATATATATATATATATATATATACATATACATATATGGGGTCCACATATTTTCGCATAGTATTAATTAGAGTCAAATTCTACCACTTTAAAGATTTAGGAATTGGAATTAGTTTTGACTAATTATATCTTGAGTGGTGATGTATAGGTGATAAGAGCTCAAGCCTCAGTATATCGTTGCTCAGCTGTGGTTGATCTTGAAGGTATCGAACATCCGACGGTCTGCCCAACTGTCAATGACGAAAGGATATACGAGCATGTGATAAAAATCTCGAAAATGATCGTTGGAGAACATAATATAGAAATAAACCCTCCTACGATGGGAAGCGAAGATTTTGCATTCTATTTGGAAAAGATTCCAGGCACCTTCGCTTTCCTCGGCATGAGAAATGAAAAAGCGTCAATCGTCCATTCACCGCATAGTCCTTACTATACAGTTGATGAAGACGTACTGTCCACGGGATCTGCACTTCATGCTGCTTTCGCATATACATACCTCTTAAACGCATCAAACGCTTGTAGTTCATATTAGTAGAGAAACAAAATAAAGACGATGGAAACAGATTCGAAACGTTCTCAAAAGGTCCGATAATTGAAGCATAGTTTGTGATACAATATGCAAGGACTCATATTGGAGTTGAAGGAAGTTCAAGGACTTGTTTTGTAAATCATCAAATCATGAATAATGTAAATATGTTAAAGTTGGTCATTGGATCTCACCATTTGGTTTATTTACATTTACTTGATAAATATCCATACTATATAATATTTTTTTTTACCGCATCCAATAAAATCAGTCTTATTTTTTACATTTTTAATGCATGATTTGATCTGATTTTAATATAAAAATATACATATATAACCACCTTTAAATTTACCCGACTTTAAGTAACAACCATAAAAGAAAAAATGACAAAAATAATATCTTGAAAAGATATACTTCTGTTGTGAACCATTGAATAAAAAGAAAACGACCCCACAAATGTCACAATTTATACATGTGGAAATATTTGTGACATTTCAACAGTCACGTTTTTAGTGTTTTTAAAAATAACGTTTAATAATTTTATTAAGATGCAACTTCTGAATCATTAAGAAGTGAATCTTGTTTGGTAAAAAAAATGTGACTCTTAATGATTCTAAAACTCTCTGAATAGTTTTGTATCTTGGGTCTCCCTTAACTATTAAGCGTTCTAATTTCATTGTAAGCAATTACCAAACAATTATATTTCATTTTTCACTATATCATGAGAGTCTCTTAATCATTCTGACCACTTAATCATTCTGTACCAAATCATTCAGCAACTGCCAAACAGTCTCTCGGCTATTTACAACTCTATTTTAGTTTTAATAATTGTAGATTTAAGTTTATTAATCATCGCATCTTGTGTCGACAGAGGTTTATTTCTGTCAAACGGGTCTTAATCGGTATAAAACGAACCTTGTTTTCTAATTGGTTTGTTGGGAGGTAAATGTTTTGTTTTGTTTTCCACTTCTATGCACGTATTTTTTTGAAGTGTTATGTCAATTCTTTATGGTTAAATCGCTTTCGTTAAAGATGTTGTCATGTCTATTTAAGATGGGTTGGTCTCTGTTAGTAATAAAGCCAATGCATCATCAATACAATTTTGTCAAAAACAAATTATGTTGTTTGTATATAATACGATCACGGGTTGTTAGTAAAAGGGAAAAGTTAAAAAAAACACACCCAGTAAAGTACAAAATATCTGATTTTGAATGATTCAGTGATTTGAATCCCTAAACAATTTTTTTGAATAGTAAAACCCTTAATCTTTTTAAAAATCTGGTTAAATACATCATAGTCATTTGTAAAACAGGTTACTTGTGATAAAAATTTGGGAAAAGTTCAAAAAAACCAAACAAACTATTTGATTTTGAATGATTAAATCTCTGATATTTTTTTTAACAAACATATTCCGGAAAAAATTCCTAAATTTTTTTTCTAAATAATTTCTTGAACTTTAAAATAATGAACATAAAAAATATACAGTTTCTCTCGTCGACAACAAAGTATAATGAACCAATTAAACAGAGAAATATTATACCATTTCCATTATAAATCCTCTCATCGACGACAAAGTATCTATTTATACTTTGTGCATAACTTTTGTATGCTTCAAAATTAGTAATGAAAATGATATAATTTTTTCAGTTGGTTTATTGTACTTTATTGTTGGTGAGAGATATTTTATATATTTTTTGTACAAAAAAAAGTTTTGGATTTAATTATTTGTTCAAAATCATTTTATATATTTTTTGGGTTATTTTTTTTCTTAAATGATGTAATTAAAACATTGTGAATAAAATAAAATAATTAATATCGTGCAACTCAAAGAGTCATAGTTATTACCAAAAAAAATCGTCCTTACATATATTTGTTAATAAATAAATTATCGAACGTATAAAAATTGATTATTTGGATTATTTCAATCCAAAAAAATGCTACATATTATAGTTTACGTGTCTCACAAATCAAATAAGTGAAAAAACGATTTTTAAGTCACGATTTTTTTTGATACGTAAGAATTTAATAATATTATTATTATATTGAATTTAATATGTAGTTTGATAATATAAATAATTATTAAGAAAAAGTAACGTTATTTAAGAAAAAACATTAAAAGAGAAAAGAAAATATATATATCTTTTATAGAAATTATGATAAAAAATATTTTTTAGTATTAATTTTTTTAGAATAAAAAATAATATTTGTAATAGTATATATTTATAATTAAATAAGATAATTAAAAAATAGTATAAAAAAGAAAAAGATAATAAAAACAAAAAAAACAAAAAAAAAACAAAAAATGGAATGATTGCATAGGTATAGGTAGGGGGGTGTTAAAAAACTCGACCAACTCAACGCAAAATAATTTAGGGGTGGGCTAAATGCACCCCTATGCATTGCTTAATGCACCCCTATCCATGAATTTCTCCCTCACACACATCAACATCAATACATGTTTTTTACATTCTCAATGCTTGAATGACCCGATTCTGACATGAAAGGGGGTGCCATTAGCATTCCCCATAATTTAACCCGGATCAACCCGATGTCTAGTCGAATTGTAAAATTTTCAAACCGTAGGTATTGGGTTGATATTGGGTTAATATTATTTGAACCAACCCAACCCGATATCTTTTTATTTCTTATATTTAATATGATTGTTGAATTTCTATTAACATATGCATTAGACAATAACACTATCGCGAACGCTCTTCATATACACATTTTTTCAATCTATTCACATATCTATATAACTCATTCGTATATATGTTCAGTAATTGTAAACATATATACGTAAATTGAGAAAATTAACTGAATGTGATATACGTAAGAAACATGGATAAATTGTATCAAATGGTTGATGATGAAAAATAAATTATGAGTAGAGAAATAACATATTTAAGGTTAGAAGAATATTTTAATGTATCAAAGTATCAACCCGACCAACCCGTACTGGTTGGGTTGGGTTGCACTTTTGTTTGGGTTGGATTGAATTAAGATTTTTCAAACCGCAAACATTGGATTGAGTTGATCAAATGTCTTCAACCCGATCAACCCAATCCATAAACACCCGGAGTTTCATTGGTATAAAGTAGGGTGCCATTAACCTTAAAAAAAAAAAATTCATAGATAGATAAGGATGCATTTACCCACCCATTTATGAAAATATAGAGAAAATTGTATAAAAAGTACAAGTTCTTGATGACTCACTAACTTTGTCGGAAAGAGAATCTTGATTCAGATTTAAAAAACAGAAATTTCATTTTGGTCCCTAAAAATTTGTAATTTTTAGTATAACGGTCACTAAACTTTAAAAACTCAGATTTAATCTTTTATAGTTGTTAATTTCCAACGTTTTTTATCCTTTAGTGTGATAATCCGTTAAATCCATTTAAATAAGAGGTATTTTAGTCATTTTCATTAATTACTTAATTTTATATTAAAATTAAAAAAACATATTGTATTTTTAATTTTAGATCGTAAAACAAAAGAAGTGAAAAAAATGAAAGAAAAAAAATATATTATATTTTTAAATTAAAAAAAGCTCATTTTTCTGTAAGACTTTGAAATATAATATGTTTTTTTAATTTTAATATAAAACTAAAAAATAGCAAAAATAATTCAAATACCCCTTATTTAACTAAACTTAACGAAAAAATTAACGACCGTTAAATAAAAAGACTAAAAGAATAAAAAAAATAACAAATATAAGGGAGCAAATTTGAATTTGTTGTGTATAGAAATTTAGCAGTGAGGCAGGCATCATGACGATTGACCCTGACATACTGTGAATTATTTATGGGTGACGTTATATATACTTTTTTTTTTAAGGTTAGGTTTAATGCGTATTTATATATTGTTAAATATATTTTTATATACTAATTTATTTTTAAAAGATTTTTTTAAGGAGTGTTTCGTTAGAGATATTAACCAGATTTTAATGAGAATGAAAATAAAAATAAATTGTTTGTTTTTATACAATGGGCTCATTTTTTCATAAGCCCAAATTTTCATTCCAAGTTAAATTGTGAGAATAGAAATTCGTTCTCATTTTCATTCTCTGTCATTTTTTTTTTCATTCTTATTTTTATTTATTTGTCTGAACCAAACACCCCCTTTAAATCTGTAAAGTTATGATAACTTTGAAAAGTTGTATATTATGTGTTATGATTCTTTTTTATGTAAGACTAGAATTTAGAATATTAATTAACATATATTTGTTTGTTTCGCATGTGTTCGGTTCACAATGTGCATATTTTTGATGTGTTTGTGAAACAAAAAATATACATAAAAAAATTTCACATTGTAAACCAAATACATTGTAATATAGGTTAATCAATACATTAAATACTATACTTTGATGAAAAAAGTCATGTGAAACAAATCCTTAAAGTAGAAATTCTCATGAATCTAATAAACTTTGGAGTTCTCAAATGAATAAACCCTACTTTCCTATATACATTAACATTAACACATTTCTTTTTAAAAATTCCAGTACATAATTTGACTTGATTTTAACAGAAAAATGGTGTATATAGTAATACCCATTTTCATGTTAAAATCAAGTCAAATCATGTACTAAATCTTTATATTAATATTTTTCAAGAGAAAGTTAATAAGTAGGGATACATTTAGCAATTTGTACGAGTGCATTTAATCCGCCACTTATTTATTCAGAGCCCAAAAATTGAAAAATAAAATTTAGAAAATTGATCAAAATAGTTAAAAACTAATGAAGAAAAAGAGATTTTCGGCAAATTTTTGCTGTAACGAAATCTGTAAAACAAATAAAATATAAGAAAAAAGTGTAAAGTTCTCCAAATCTAGAGAACTCCTTAAAAATAATTACCATGAGAGATGTACAATTTTTTAATTATATTCCACCCAATAAAAAAACATTGATGGATCAAAGAACCTTTGGCCTAGCGGTATCGTAGCCTTTAGCCTTCTAGGAAGTCATGAATTCAAACATCACCATAGATGAGAAAGATGTTAAGTTTATTTGTTGCATTTGTCATATGTAAATATTATATATTTCAAAAAAAAAATTGATGCTAAATGTTTATGAGAGAAATAACATTTTATTACACGTATAAGATATTTTAGTAATATAATTAAGTTGTAATCGTTAAAATAGAGAAATCTGTTATATTTGAAGATTTTGGGCTTTATTTTATTCTTCAAAGATATTTCGGAAAATTTGTTAAAGATGTACTGGCATCCCTCTGTTCACTTTTTAGCGCATGTTTTTTTGACTTTCTTTCTAAATGAACCAAAATAGCCAGAATTTGTAAGCATCCGTTTCGAAACTTGTAAATATACTTTCTCTGAATTAATAATTCTCAAGTCATTTTGCAAAATAGACGTTGTTGCCTGCGAAATAAGCCATCAGAATCATATTTTAATATGAAAAATACGTTTTATAAGTTTGTAAAATAGATAATTAAGAGCTATTTTAAGACACTGAGGATAAACAATGAATAAATGGGACTCATTTCACTTTATGTTAGTTAAATCCTTTGGAAATTGGAATCATTTTAATTTTTGTCAAATGTCAGGGAGCAAATTGTGTGAATAAGCAACTTTCAAAATTCCATCTTGGTACATAAAATATACAGTTTTAAACATTTAAGTACTTGGGTAACCAGTTGAAGCATTAACCGGTTATCATGTTGATGTGGTATTCAACTCAGTATTATTTGCTTATGTGGTTAGTGACATAGATTTTTTTAATCTAAAATTAGTCTTCAACCGGTTACCCAGGTATTTAAATATTTAAAATTTTATATCTTAGGTACCAAAATGAAAGTTTTAAAAATACGTTACCCAAAATAGAAATCAAGTTAAAGTACATTACCTTTTAATACAATTTGTTAGTGTCAAACTCAATCAATAACACATTATATTTTATTATTATAATTATTTTTTTACATATATTAAGTTATTTACCAATGGCATCCTTATCGTCTTATATAATTATTATTTACCAATGGCATCCTTATCGTCTTATATAATGATTTTTTTTGTATTTTTGTCTCTTTGTTGTCTTTTTTTTTATATTAATTTTCTTTTACTTAATTTATTTAATTGTAAATATATTATTATTATAAATATTATTTATTATTATGTAAAAATATTATT